CCTCGGCCTCCCAAAGTGCTGGGATTACAGGCTTGAGCCACCGCGCCCGGCCATATTATAATTCTTGACAAGTGTGAAAGTGCTCTGCAAATATAGCAAATCTTTAAGGGGCTAGAAGTTGGCCAGAGTGGGACAGGACATGCAGTGTAAGGTTGACAGATGGTGAGTGAGCAAGTGGAGAAAAGAAGAATCATGTGGAGAGTGTGAGAGTCATGCCAGTTCCCAGGAGGGCACTGACAGGAAGAGCTGTGGTTGACAGCACTGCAATGATGGCTTTACAGACAACGTTTGGTGGCCTTCACAGGGCATAAATGGAAAAACGAGACTGTGAGAGGTTAAAGCAGTTCAGGGCTTTGACTCTGGGAGTCCAGACAACATGAGTGTTAAGCTTTGGAGCCTTGGAGACCAACCATCCAAAGCCCACAGCCGGGTTCCATCACTCACGAGCTATGTAAATAAAGTTCCTTAGCCAAGACTCCGTTTCCCCATGTGTAAACTGGGGATTGCTGTGAGATTCAAGGAGTGAGTGAGTAAAGTTCTGGCACATAATAAGCATGTAATAATTGGTAGTGATTATTACACTGGTTATGGATAATGATTAGTATATTGCAGGCTCTAGGTCAAGATTACAAGAAACTGTTTTTTTAAGCTATGAAACCATTTCTTCAAATGGATGTTTATGCTAAAGTACAAATTACAAAACAAAAAATACCAGAAACTGCCCTGGTTCAATGAGGAGGAGGGTCTCAGAGGAGAAGTGCAGGCCCAATAAGTCTCCAGTTGTCTAACTGCCCAGCCCAGTTCTCGCCCTGGTCCTCCTAATCTTTCCTCAATCACAAATGATCACACACTGATGATGGAAAACAAAAGGCCTCTGAGACCACAAGTTCAGTCTACAGTGAGCGAGTGAGAGAGCTAAAGCTCAGGCCAATGGGCAGAACGACAACCTGCAAAAGAGTTGAAGACAAGGTAGGAACTGCCCAGATGCAACTTGGGGAGTTAACAAGAACTCTGTTACTTAATCAAGAACCAACCCAGACCAAACCACAGCCAGCACATCCATCTCACATCTGCGACAGCTTGCTGGCAGGGGTGCGAAGCAGGAAGAGACATGGTCTACAGCACATGAAGGGCCCTGGTAGTTCCTTCCCTGCTTCATACCTGAGCCCCAGGTACAGTGGTATGAGGCACTGTGCGTCTTATAATCAGGTAAGAGACGGAACACCAGGCTTAAACAAGGAATCTGGGTCCAGGACATACCAATGGTAATAATTAGCCTGGCAAATGACAACCTGTCTGCATCTTAACCCTCAAGAGGGGCCTGACCCAAATGTTCCCTGAGATTCTGAGACCTCTCAGCACCAATGTAATGATTTCATAAGTAATGCTGTAGGCCTTGGTTCCAAATACATTAAAGACAAAAGTTCCAGCCAGGCATGGTGGCTCACAACTGTAATCCTAGCACCCTGGGAGGCAGAGGTGGGCGGATCACGAGGTCAGGAGACCAAGACCATTCTGGATAACATGGTAAAACCAATCTCTACTAAAAAATACAAAAAAATTTAGCTGGGCATGGTGGCGGGCACCTGTAGTCCCAGCTACTTGGGAGGCTGAGGCAGGAGAATGGCGTGAACCCGGGAGGTGGAGCTTGCAGTGAGCCAAGGTCACGCCACTGCACTCCAGCCTGGGCAACAGAGCGAGACCATCCGTCTCAAAAAAAAAAAAAAAGTTACCTAGTTACACACTCCTTACCCTTAAAAACCAGAGCTTGCACATGCCTAGAAAATGCAGCTGAGCCCAGAGGAGCAGCTTTGTAAGCACCAAAGGAGCGACGAAGATAAAAGAGTAGGAGAGACCCAGGCCAGACTCCCAGCTCCCACAACAACTACGTGATGTGGGCACGTTAGTGAGTTCTCCCTGAAACTCTATCTTCCGTCTGTGAAATGGAGACGTTGGCTGCCAGTCAGAGGCACCAAGAGGTGATGATTTTAAAAGAGCATGCAACAGTACCCAGCACAGACCAAGCCCTCAGTGGCAGGTGGATTGTTACCACATAAACAAGGGAAGTGAAAAC